CAAAGCCCACATGAGCACGAAGAAAACCAAGGTCTCTAGTTGCTCGTCAGACGTCATATCTTACCACGGTTTGCCAGTTCCGAGTGAGTGGAGGCTGTCCAGTGCTGAGTGGTCGAAGAGGTTCGACTTAATGGTACAATACCATAAAACTATCTACGACAAACTTCCCGGTCAATTGTCCCACCCAATAGCCCCGAGACTCATCCTTCATAAAGCGGTGGTACTAGAGATCCAGACGGAGAATCAAGGCAGGTGGATGCCTGCGTTTCGGTACAATATAGCCCAAAGACAAAACGTCTGGGAACATCGACTAGCGGACGGGAAGATGTCTGATGTGGGAACGAGGAACAAATTATTGGTTAGGCAGGCGATCAGAGACTCGGAGTTTGCTAAAGATGACGTTTTTGACGACAATCCCTACGCCATTGGGTATGCGCTCCAAAACCAGAGCCCCATCGATGGACAGATATACCCAGAGTATCATTCGTGGGATGGTTTTAATATTATCAACGAGTTGAAGCTAGAAGGTACAGGAGGACGATTAGTGTCAGCGTTGAACCCCCTCCCGTCGTCTTCTTATCGTGATACCAACGTAGCTGCAGGCCCCTCACGAAATCGTAATGGAGGAAGAGGAGGTAGACCCTTTAATCAAAATCATCGAGGTCGGGGTCATTTTAACGGAACGCGTAGATCTTATCCTATGAATTCCAGCCATAATCAGTCTTACCTCGGAAATCACTTTAACGAGTTTCATAACGCTGGTCCAAGCAACTACGGAGGCGGTCAGGTGCAATGGCCAAGGGGTGGTAACGGTGCTGGACAACGACCCGCTATAGGTCCGGGTAGCTTCGTACCTCAAACTAGACAGTTGATGTTAGAAGGAGCGCATACAGCTAGTGGAGGTAGTGCTGCTGGTGAGAAAGGAAAAGGACAAGGGGGAGGAAGCAAGTAAGTAACCAAATGATCAGAGGACCCTGAATAGGTGTAATGAGAAAAGAATAAGAAATGAAAAATACCTTTGATATAGACAGACCTCTATGAGACAAATCGCTGTACCCCCTCTTTCCTTTCCAGAATGACATACTCTGAATTAAAGTGTAATGAAAGTCAAGTGAACTGATTCTTCGTATGACCCCCACCTCCATTTATCTATGTGTCTAATAGAAGTCGAGACCGTGAAGTCGTGAGATTAGAGAGAGTTGAGCGACCCAGAGAGATCAGTCCAAATAGAGATACTCGATGGCCGTCCAAAGCGAGCTGCGACATGAAATTAGACGAGTGGAAAGAACTCTTGAAAGAATGTAACCTGACCGAGAAGTGGGACCACGTGATGAAATCTTTGACAACAGGATTCCATCAAGGAATTCCCGATCATAACTTAGGAAACCTCAGGTGGTTTACACCAGACAATCATACCTCGGCATTAGCAGTGAAAGAAAAGATAATGAACAGTTTGTATGAAGATAAGAGAGCCGGAAGAGTGTTTGGGCCATTTACCCACGAGGAGGTACATAGCAGATGGGGATTCTTTAGGTCAAACCCTATGGGTAGTGTAGTGAACAACGATGGATCATTAAGAATGATTAATGACTTATCCTTCCCTAAGAAAAACCCAGCCAAAGAGAAGAAGAAAAAGATAGACTCACACGTCGAGAACCCCGGGCCGCGAGCGGACGACTGGACAGCTTCACACGTCGAAAACCATTCAGATGACGCAGACAGGTTGCTGAAAGAACTTTCTTACCCGGATGATGATAGAAATATACCTTTGGTTAACTCCTTCGTGGATAAAACAGATTTCAGAACATCATGGGATGATTTTTGGGTGGTAGCAAAGTTCTTCCGAGAAAATACGGGGAAGTCCTTACTGTTGGCGATTTACGATTGGCGGAAAGCGTATAGACAAGGCCCTACGCACAAATCACAGTGGCGCTTCTTAATGATAAAGGACTTCAATAATAGATTGTGGGCAGATACAAGGATCGCCTTCGGTGGGGTAGCAGGGTGTGGGACGTTTGGCTGAATGGCAGATGCTTGGCGAGATATAATTAGGTCCTTATTCCCATTAAAGGCAGTCTTTCGATGGGTTGATGACAACCTGTGCATCAAAGAGGAAGGGGACCTGGTGAGCATGCAAGATGTTATTCAAGTCAGTAATAGCCTAGGAGTGCAATCGAATTCAGAGAAGTTTAGTGATTGGAACGTAGAGCAAAAGTATCTAGGATTCATCTGGAATGGAAAGCAGAAAACTGTCAGGTTACCAGAAGAGAAATTAAAAGAAAGGATCCAACAAGTAGAAGATTTACTCACCTTGGAAAAGAAATGGTCCAAAAAGGAGGCGGATAAAATCGTAGGCCAACTAGGTCACATCACGTATATACTTCCAAACATGCAATGCTACATGTGGGACCTTTATTGGTGGACCAATACGTGGTATAATCACCAAGCCACACGGGAGCTACCCAAGAAAGGAGCAAGGAGTGAGAAAATCTCCGAAGGAACACTTACGAAGTACATCTCTGCGATTAGGTCGTGGCACCTATTTCACAACCAACCATTCCCAGCCGAGAACGACGAGATGGTGAAGAAGTTGCTAAAAGCGGTGAGCGCCGCAGACGCGGCGAAGAAGGAGGCCCCGAAAGAGCAGAAGAGGCCGGTTGAATTGAGGCACATGGCTCAGTTGGTGAAGGCGTTGACTAAAGGAAGTAGACGGGAACAAGTTGCGTTGGCAGTAGCGACAACAGCGTTTTGGGGCATGGCGAGACTAGGAGAGTTGGTGTCTAATTCGAAGAAAAAGAGACAGGTGTTAGTGAAAGACGTCCTATGGTCCGGAGATTACAACTTCATTAAGATAGCGATCTACGAGGCGAAGACAGCCAAGCCCGGCGAAATTCAATGGCTGCACTTACAGAGAAGGCCCTCCCTCCTCGACCCGGTCAGAATGTTGTGTATATTGGTCGGATACGATGATGGGACGAAACGAAGAGACCCTCTCTTCTCTTACCTGGACAATGACGGTCAAAGAAAGACACTGTCAAAATCAGAGGCAATGGGCATCTATAAGAAAGTGTGGAACGAGGCAGATCCTGATAATAGGTTGAGTGGACACTCGTTTTGTGTCGGTGGTGCCACGCTACGATGGAACGATAAGAGACCACTGGAAGAGATAGTAACACTACACAAAATATAATATTTTCTGGGCAGAAAATTAAATTATTGATACACAAAAATATTGAGAGGCCAGGAGAAGGGCAAAAAATGAATAAAAATATGCATCTTGTTCCCTGCGTTGAGAACTTCACTCTGCATATTTTTCTGTATTTTTACAGTCCATATTGATAAGTGTACTAACAATAAACCTTCATAATCATCCAATTACAACCTGTAACAAGCACTGAAATTTGGCTCATTAGTGTTTAAAGAAACTTTTGATTTCTGAAAACACCTATAACTTTGTCAAATCTGCCTCAAAACACTCGATTTTAAGTGCATTAGAAAGCTGAACTCCACCTCTCGAACTTTCATAAGATCAAGAACTATGTAGCTAGTATGACAATCATTCTATGGATCTGTATGTACAAATGTATAAAAAAGATGATATCTTTTTTAGCAAACCAGCATGCTGTGTGGTCCTATTATGAACTATTTGGAGGACAACTCCAGCTTACCAATGCACCCAAAATCGAGCGTTTTGGACCGGAATTGAAAAAGTTATGAGTATTTTGAGAAATCAAAAGTTTCTCTAAACACTAATGAGCCAAATTTCAGTGCTTGTTACAGGTTGTAATTGGATGATTGTGAAGGTTTATTGTTAGTACACTTATCAATATGGACTGTAAAAATACGCAAAAATATGCAGAGTGAAGTTCTCAACGCAGGGAACAAGATGCATATTTTTATTCATTTTTTGCTCTCCTCCTGGCCTCTCAATATTTTTGTGTATCAATAATTTAATTTTCTGCCCAGAAAATATTATCTTTCTTGTAGTGTAAGGATGGGTAGGTGGGAATCAAAAGCGTATGAGTTATACTTACGAAAGTACTCCCCAGATCAAGAAGCGGACGCAAAGTACGTATGGGAGGTAATGGGAGATGGTTCGGTTATGGAATCAGTGGTAGATGGACAGAGAGCAGATCTACCCATAGATAAGTCGCTGATTCCGGTTGATACTTTGATCGGGATGGAGAAATAAAATGAGAAGTTGAATGACCCAATTAGAAGCATGAGACGAGTGAGTGAGAGGAAGGAAGGTGCCTGGCGCCCCTCGAACATTGGAGGGAAGTTGAAGAGGAGAGAGAGGTTTCGAGGTTAGTGGCCAAGAAAGAGGTAGAACCCGAATGAGGCGTTCCTGTAGAGAGAGGTCGATCGGTGACAGACGAGAGATCGGCGGGAGAGGGGTGTCACGAGACAACGTTCCGTACAGACTCGGCCCCTGACAGAGTGGCTCTCCGCAGGCTCCGGACGTCACGTCCCGAGTAGTGGTAGCAGAGATCCACCCTAGCCAGGGAGTCTACGGCCCCAGGGCCCCCCCCCCAAACCCGTGCAATCCGACTCAATAAGAGTAGGAAGGCATAAAGAGGCTTCAAGGCTATGTGAGATTCTTGACGTGACTGGGTAGTAGAAGCAAAGCAATGAAATGTAACAAGCTGTGATGTAAGATCACATATATGTAAACAGCCAATGATCCCCATAGCGTAAATCACAGAGGATAATGGAATGGGGCGGATACCCAAAGGCACGACGGTATCCGCTAGTTCCATGAGGGCTGAGGATGAGCGGCCCCGCGGATCACAGACACGGGGACCCCGGGCCTAGCAGAAACTAGGCCAGAGAAGAGTACAAACCCAAGAGAGGAAAATCTCTGAGTCAGAGTTTTCCATCATCCCTCAGACCTCTCAACGATAGACGCAAGTTCGCAGAAAATTTAGTAGAAAAAATTTTTTCTTTCCTCCCACCCACCCCTTCGCCCACCACGCAGAGATCCACCCTAGCCAGGGAGTCTACAGCCCCAGGGCCCCCCCCCAAACCCGTGCAATCCGACTCAATAAGAGTAGGAAGACATAAAGAGGCTTCAAGGCTATGTGAGATTCTTGACGTGACTGGGTAGTAGAAGCAAAGCAATGAAATGTAACAAGCTGTGATGTAAGATCACATATATGTAAACAGCCAATGATCCCCATAGCGTAAATCACAGAGGATAATGGACTTTAGGTTATTGATCAGATTCTTAGCGAAGACCTGGCCAAATTCCACTCGACAAACCGTCGGCGAGGTACCGATGTGAAGAAAGCGGCATACTTTCAAGGTATAACTTTCAATGGTCGCGACTGGGAGGATCTCAATGCTCTCAATGAAGAACTATTAGTATGTATCAATTTAACTTCCATCAGCTGATTGATACTGACTTTGCCTGTATCAATACAGCCATTTCTTTTGTTGACTAAACGGTTCAAGGAGAACAGCCCAAATGGATCAATTGTCCTACCAGAGTATTTGATCTTGTTGGAATCTCTCAAAAAACGACAGGCTGCTTTAGAACAAGATGACCCGTTGTATCCTATGTTTGCGGAGATGGTCATCTGGATGGAAAAGTACTGGAATGAAGCTCTCAAGTGTGAGAGTCTTCTATTTGCGACCATCTTGAACCCACTATTTCGCCACCGATTCTTCGAAAAAACCTTTGGCCCCCAAGATTCCAAGTCTGTTGAGAGTCTCACAGCATTTACAAGCACATTCAATGTCCGCAAAACTGAGCACTCGGACCTCAACTCTCAGCGATCGTTGCACAACACGCAACCTACCTCATCAAGCTTGACCAGCGCAGTTTCATCTGTTTATCAACTCTTCACCCACGATGCTCAGGCTGAGCGCGAGGATGAGCTTAAGAGGTACTTGAAAGGCGATCATACCCTATTACCAGTGCTCAAAGATGGCGCAATTGATCCTGATTGCATATTGAAATGATGGAAAGTTAGTATTGATTTTCCTTTGTATCTACATGCGCCTGAAACAACACATTGCTAATCAGCAATGCCATTGTTTGTAGGATCACGAACATATCTATCCGGTCCTTGCGTCAATGGCACGCGATTACCTTGCAATCCCCGCTTCATCTGCAGCGGTTGAGAGATCTTTTTCAGCCGCTGCTGATGTTTGCTCAGCGAATCGAGGTCGATTGGCCCCACAAACCATTGAGAGGAATGTGGGTAGCCTGTTGTGGCTCCGTGAAAAGGTTGAACTGGTGGGTGAATGGGTAATGGTAGCCAGTACGCTAGCTAAGCATGCTGCAAAGGTTATTCTAAAATGAACATTTCTTGTATTTTTGATTGTCTTGAATAAAAAATAAGATTTATTTGTTTTGTGCCTAAAAGTCGCGCTAAGCCGCTAATTAGCGGTTTAGCTGAAAAAACCGCGCTAAGCTATTGACAAAGCTTAGCAGCATCAAATTTTTACCGCTAAGCTATTGTCTTAGCTTTAGCGGTAATGCGCTAAGATTTAGCGTTAGCGCGCCATTCCTTAGCGGGGCATTGCTAAGCTAAGCCAAGTGTGGGAATAACCTTGGCTTAGCTTAGCGAGCCACCGTTGATCAAGCTCTCTTTTCTTGGGCCTCTTCCGTGCAAATCAGATTAGCTTTTCTTCACGTTTCTCATTTACCCCGTTTCAATCTTTCCATAAAGCTCTCTTTGCTGCTTCGATTCTTAAGACTTGACCTCAATTCTCCAACCGTTTCAATCACTCCATCAAGCTTCCTTTGCTGCTTCGATTCTTCAGACTTGGCCTCATTTCTCCAATCACCCTTTTCGACTATGCCTCCAAAGTTACAGATCAAATCGGGAGTGAAGGTGTGACCTTTCATACTTGGCTGGACCCCGTCTAGCAATCATTTTAACTGACCTTTGTTTGCTTTGATCCAGATCCCTCGTGCTCGTCGAACTAAGTTACAGTTAGCAGAAGACCTCAAAAAGTCAGGAGAGAAAGTCACGGGCAAGCCAACCGCGGCCGCTGTGAAACAATCCCGCCTGGCTGCGAATGCACGCGCTGATCGTGGCTTGGTCTCCTCGAGTGCGAGCAAGATGACGAAAGACCAACCGGGCCCTTCCTTTGATCTTGTTGATTACCAATCCATCATCGCCTACCTTACCAGCCCTAATATCCGAAAAAGTCTATTTGGTGCGGGTAGCCAGACCAAGGTTACCGGCTTGTCGATGCAACCCAGTAAATTATTACAACCACTGGCAATCAAGATCAACAGCAGCTATAACGAGCAGCACAATTCCACCAAGATGCGATTAAATGGTTGATTGTTGTACATGCGGTTGAAGCGTTATAAGGCTAAGTACATGTCCACCAAGGCCTTCAGCGAAAGGACTGGCGCCGGCCTTTCTGCAAAAGACGTTGCTCGTGGTATCAAGACTATGGATGAACTGTTGGAATCCATGTGTCCGTGCTTCAACGACATGGATGCGTTATTCCGTGACAAGGGCAATGTGAATCCTTTCGGCGTTCTCAACAGTGGCGCTTCACCTGAACCTGAGCACTCCTCCGATGAGGAAATGGAAGGTCACCCAAACAGCGAAGACGACACTACTGATGGACTCGATCTTCCTCACGACGATCTCAGTAAGTGCTTGTGGTAGTGTCTTGGTCCTTTGGCTTGTCGAATGCGCTAACTTGCACCTCCCTTCACAGCCACGGATGTTGCTGTTTCACAAAGATTGCGAGCCCCATCTGAAGACCCTGGAGCTGAAGATCAATCAACAAATGCCGGAGGAACACAACCTGCTCCGATTGATCATGCGCTCAACAATCACTACCGCGGCTTTTTGGACAATGATTTGATGTCACCCCCGCCTACACCAAAGGACAATGATGAAGACCCTCAACCGCCTGCCAATCTAGACATTTCTAACACTTCCAGAGCTAAGAAGGCCACTGCGGAAAAATCCAAAGGTAAACACAAACGTTCCAAGAAGGATTCCCTTACTGCGGAAGAACGCGCTTTGGATTCGAGTTCCGATGAAGACGACAAACCCACTCAGTCAACCTCCACTCAGCGCGCTGCCGGGTCTCGCGCGCCCATTAGTCGACGGGCTTTAGATCCCCTCCCATCAATCGATCCTTCCGTGGTACGAGGAAAAGAGCTGAAGCACCCAGTTGCAACCGCGATGCAAATTGGCAATGAAGCCAAACTCCAGATGTTAAGATCAGCCCAACAGGCCGACTTGGAAGCGCGCGACCGTGATCTGAACTGGCAGAAGGAGCGGTATTTCCTTGAACGTGAAGATGAGGCCAAAAGGCACGCACTCAATTTACAAAACGATTGACAAGCGTTCTGTGAAAAACTAGTCCTTGGTGGAAAGACACCTGCTGAGTTAGAGGCCTTCCTTCGCCTCGTCTATCCTGACCAGTCTTCCGCGTAAGTAAACCTTCACTTTCTGTTGCAGATGGTTTATGCCACCCTGATACGCCTTCAAGCTGATACGCCTTTCGCATTTGAACAGTTGATCGTTGTACCTCCAGTACCTCCATGATCGCGTACCTCAATCAGGTCCTTTTGGGACATGTCCGCTTCCTGTACCGAGTCGTGTGTCTGTTATGTCAAATTGTTTTCATATTATTACTCGGTTCCTTATAGCAATCCCCAAAATGATGTATCTGTTCAATTTCATTAAGTTATGTGTCTCCAAGTATCAGTTGTTAAAACAAATAGTTATGTGTCTTGTCTCTCTAGTTAGTCCGCCCAAAACATGATTTAGTTTGAAATATTTAGTTTGAAATATGATTCAGTTGCCAAACATGCAGTGGTTCTTTTAACATGATTTAGTTTGAAATATGATTCAGTTGCCAAACAAGCAGTGGTTCTTTTGCAAAGCCACAGTTGTCGAACCAGCACCAGAAAGTACTTAGCACTTTTTGGCCAAATGTGCTCAAGACTTTGAATAACCGTTGTGCTAAAGACTTTCAATAAAAGTCTTTCTCAAAGGCTTTATCTCAGTAAGTTAATTCAGTAAGTTAGGCTCAACAAAAATCTAAGTTAATTCAGTAAGTTAGGCTCAACAAAAATCAAATATATAATTTCAAATCAAGGCGCAAGAAGATTTCGAATAAGATTACAAATTAAGGTGCAAAAGAGACAGACGAATAATTAAAACAAACACAAGAAAAACACCCAAAGACAAGAAAAGACCACAACATAAACCAAGGTAGCAAAAATACGGGAAAACTCATTGTACAATGGGCAGTCCACCACTCTCCCAGTTGTAGGCCACAGCGTAGTCTCTGACCTTTTCCCGCTTAACTCTCCCTCGTTCCATTGCTGCTATATCAGAAAATCCACCAGGTAAACGTTCCACTCCTGCATCGCCTGGCTCTGCAAACACAAGTGCTTCCTCCTCTTCTTCCCAAGCATTTCCCAGGTCTGTTATGATACTGTCTAAGGTAGTCAAGTCCATCCCGATTAGGAAATCAAACGCTACAGTATTAGGTCTGAATTTAGGTATCTTCAAGTCGTGTAGAATGTTTCCCTTTTGGGAACATTATTTGTGTGTGGGCTTTATCAAAATGGTTGTGTACGCGTGTCTATTCTGTATCTGTGTATCCCCTTGCTTCAGGGTGAAAATTGTGTGTGATTCAGTTTCTCTCTTATATACCCAGGGTCTCTCGAGCTCCTTGTTCCCCCCTCATCGTGTGGAACTTGGAAGCTTAGAGTACGCACCTTATTTTCTATTTTTTTCTCTTTTCATATTTCACTTCTTGGATGAGTGCTCATGTGTCACGATAGACCTCCCTACCACTCTTTCCTCCTGCTCACTCGCAGGTAAGGCGTCGACTTTCTCCGCCAGTCTTTCGTGAATCTTTCTTTGAGTCTTACAACTCATCTATAACCTGTCTGTCCAGGTAAATCTTGTGTTCTCTTAAAGTTCTTTTATTTTTCTCTTTACTAGAAGTGGAATGTTATGATCGTGTGGAACTTGGAAGCTTAGAACCTCCCTACCACTCTTTCCTCCTGCTCACTCGCAGGTAAGGCGTCGACTTTCTCCGCCAGTCTTTCGTGAATCTTTCTTTGAGTCTTACAACTCATCTATAACCTGTCTGTCCAGGTTACACGCGTTGAATTTCTTCCGCGTCTCTCATCATTTCATGGTAGCGAGAGTCCCTACGACTCGATCACTCCTTTACTCAAAGACCTCATCTAAAGACTGTTTATGTCATCGCCACATCCTGTGCTAGCCGACGCCAACGACCAATCCGAAGATTCCACATCCAATACTTCTTCATCAAAGACTCACAAACCATCTTCTCAAGAACCTCTTCCCAATCTCTTATCTACATCATCGTCAAACTTCACAAGAATGACTGATAAGGATGAACTGAAGTTTTTTGGCACTCCGCTTCAACAATTCGTTCAGAAGCTCAACTTGATTCTGTCGAAATACACGATTGACAACAAACTTTCTGACGGGAATTTTCCTGAATGGTCACTCGAAATTAAAAGAGTGTTGAAAATCATTGATTATCACAAATATCTCTCCAAATCCGATTTCAAAGCGCCTTCTTTGACTGATGAACAACATCTGAAAGTCAAACTCGTGATCTCTGTGTGGCTTCTTGGACTGATGGATAGCCAGAACAAAACTAGGTGTCAAACCATGTTGAAGTTGGCAAACTGTAACAACTCGGAAGATGAAAATGAAGATAGCGAAGACGAGGATGACTTTGATTATGAACCGTATCTGATCTGGAAGTTTCTCAAGAATCACCACCAGAAAATATCGGAAGCTGGTCTACAAACCATTGAAGACACAATCAGCGATATGAAGATTCTGAGCTCTGATTCATTCAAAGTGCACTGTGACAAGTTCAACAACTTGATCGCCAACTTTGTTAAGTACAAAGGACAAATTTCATCTGCCTCTGCCGCTTACAAACTCATCAAAACGGTCAAATCTCGAATGAATGAAAACGTGTCTGAGAACATATACTCAAAAGTTGTTCCTCTCACCAGAGAAGGAGTAGTTCAGTATCTTATTGATTATGAAGCTAGAAATGGAGGTTTCACTACTCCGGCTATCATTGAAGCAAGTCAAGCGACTGTAAACCATCACTTTGAAGCTGCTCGTACCACTTACTCAATCCCTCAAAGCAGTGCTGCTCAAGCCTCTGGAGGAAATCAACGTCGTTTCCGACCAAAATGTACTGAACACAGATGTATCGCTCCACCACCCATACTCCTGAAAAATGTTTCACCAAACCTGAAAATCGCAGTGCTCGTGATCTTTGGATTGCTCAAATGGAGGCAAGACGAAACGGAAATCATGGAAATTGTTTTCGAAATCAATCCCAGACTCCAAGTGTCAACGGCATCAAACAAGTCTCATTACCTTCAGCTAGTCCTGCTTTTGCCTCCTCGAACCCGTTCGCTTCCCTTCATATCTTTCTTGACGAAGATAGCGTTTCTGTGTCAGCTTCCGCCTCAGAAACATTCAAAGCATCTCATACCGTATTCGATGACGACACTCCTGCTGCGAACCTGGTCAACGAGAGCAGTGGTCACTGGGCTCTGTATGACACCGTGGCGACTCATTATATGTTCAAAAACGATCAACTGTTTGCCTCTATGTCAAAAATTGAAGATTTGTCCAAACGACTGAAACTCGCGGGAGGAGATGTGTCTCTTGCTGTTCACTCTACCGGTACGGTGCAACTAAAATCAGGTACTGGCAAAATGTTTGAGTTGAACAACAGTCTTTATGTGCCGGAACTGGCTCAAAACTTATTGGCTGGAGGTGCTATGCTTCGTAAAGGAGTTCAGGTCCTGATTCATCCCAACGACTCAAATTGTTTCTTGCTTGTATTCAAAGGAGAGGCCTTGTTCAACGGAGTGTTTGCTGCAAAAAATCTCATGTATGTAGCTCTCGAACCGGTGAGTCCAACTTTTGACTCAAAGGCATCATCAACTCAAGCTGAAGATGTGACTCAACTTCAACACCGTTGTTTAGGGCATCTGAGCAACCGTTATCTCAGGTTAATGTGCAAACACAAAAGTGTGCAGGGTCTGACAGAAGACCTAACTCAATTAAAACACTGTGATATCTGTTCTCTATCCAAGAACACTAAAATCCCTCACTCTTCAACTAGGCCCAGGGCTTTTCGACATCTAGAAAATGTACATGTTGATCTCAGTGGCATAATCAGGGTCAAAGGATTGAAAAATGAAATGTACTACACCTTATTTTGTGATGACTATTCATCTTTTCGTCACATCTACTTTATGCAATCTAAATCAAAAGAAGAAGTGTTCAACATTTTTAAGACCTATCTCGCCATGGCTGAACGTCAAACTTGTGTGAAGTTGAAGCAATTTACCCTTGACAGAGGAGGTGAATTTCTCAATGACCTCCTGGGTACCAAACTTCGTGAGCGCGGGATTGTTCTTCACCTCACAGCCGCACATTCTCCTGAAGAAAATGGCGTGTCAGAACGTGGTAATCGCACCATAAGCACAAAAGCTAGATCCATGATGTTGGAATCGAAGATGCCTTTGCGATTCTGGGTACAAGCATGTAGCACTGCAGTTTTTGTTTTTCTCACAACTCGTACTGTCACAGCTGCTCTTAGCAACAATCGCACACCGTTTGAAGTTTGGCATTTCAGAAAACCATTGGTACAGCATTTGAAAGTCTTTGGTTGCTTGGCCTATGCTTTAATCAGAAAAGAAATCAGAGGTTCGAAATTCAACCCAGTCAGCAGTCATGGTGTTCTAGTCGGTTATGATGAGGACAATTTTAACTATCAGATCTATGATCTGACCTCTCATAAAATCATCATCACGCATCACGCTACATTCAATGAAGATCTCTTTCCTTTCGGAAATGATCCGGTCACTAGGCTATCTCCTCTTCCTCCAACAAGCGAGGGAGTCAACATTCGATTCTTTGACGACGACTCTGATGATGAGCATTTTGAAGAGGTCCTGGAGCCGACTGACTCTGATAATCGTCCTGAGGTTCCTACAGTTCTTGATCCTAACCCGCCAGCCATTAAAGTATCCCCAGACGTTCGTCGCTCAGGCAGAGTGAAGCAAGTAGTTAAGTACACAGCCACTGCCGTGTGTGATGATATCAAAGTCTCTTCCTTGATCGCTAAGTGGGAGTCTGCTCAACATTTAAACTGTGGAGTTCCCGAATGCAATATGGTAACTACGACTCATGATGTGCCTAGATCATACTCAAAGGCCGTGTCTGGACCTGAAGGAGACGAATGGATGAATGCCTGCAAGAAAGAGATCCAAGCAATGCGTGACAAGAAAGTGTGGGTTCTGGTA